AACAAGGGGACTTGGCTAATGAAATTGAGGATGCAGATTCGGATGAAGACCCAAACACAAATAGCATGCCGGCTCTCAGGAGATCAATGCGGGAGAGGTGAGTACCACTTTGATACTCACTTAGTGCATTGAGTACGTTTCATGCCTTAAGCATTACCGGGGATGAGCATAGTACTGTAAAAGAGGTGAGATCCATGGATGACGTGAATCAGTGGGAGCTCGCAATGATAGATGAGATGCGGTCGCTTGATCATAACGAGACATGGAACCCATGTAAATTGCCTAAGGATAGAAAGGCAATTGGGTGTAAGTGGGTGTTCAAGCGGAAATTGAAATCGGATGGGACTGTGGAAAAGTACAAGGCGAGGCTCGTAGCCAAAGGGTATTCTCAGATCGAGGGAGTTGACTATGACAAAATTTTTTCCCCTGTGGCGAAATCGACCTCGATACAGTTTGTTATGTCCATAGCAGCTGCATACAATCTTGAGGTGGAACAGATGGATGTGAAAATAGCTTTCCTTCATAGGGACTTGGAGGAGGAGATTTATATGAGGCAACCAGAAGAGTTTGAAGCAAAGGAAAGGAGAATCTGGTGTGTAAGCTGAAAAAGTCTTTATATGGGCTGAAACAGTCACCGAGGATGTGGTACCAGAAGTTTGACGCGTACATGCTCCAGCTTGATTTTGTGCGTTCAAATTCTGACCACTGTGTTTATGTGAAGAGGGCTGGTGATTAGTTTGTCATTCTCACGCTATACGTGGATGATATGTTGTTAATCGGGAATAGCGTGAAGATGGTGAAATCCGTAAAAAATTTGTTGGCTAGGAAGTTCGATATGAAAGATTTAGGGCCTGCAAATTTTATTTTGGGCATGCAAATTATCAGGGACCATGGGAAACGAAAGTTATGGCTAGGGCAAGAGAAATACATCAAAGAAATGTTGAAGAAATTCAACATGACGGACTGCAAGTCTATTAGTACCCCTATACCTTTAGTAACCAAATTATCTGCGGAACAGTACCCTAAAACGGATGAGGAGACTGAAGAGATGGCCCGAGTTCCATACGCAAGTGCAGTAGGTAGCTTGATGTATGCTATGGTGTGCACGTGTCCGGATATAGCTCAAGCAGTGAGAGTCTTGAGCCGATATATGTCCAACCCGGGTAAAGAACATTGGAATGCAGTAAAAAGGGTTTTCAGGTATCTTCATGGAACTTGAAATTTTTCTTTATGTTTTGAAGGTATAGGGAATGGAAACATCCTCGATATCATGGGCCATGTAGATACAGATTGGGGTGGAGACATTGATAGTAGACGATCTACTAGCGGGTATGTTTTCACATTATTTGAAGTTGCACAGAGTTGGATGAGTAGGAGGCAAAGTGTGGTAGCACTCTCTTCTACGGAGGCTGAGTATATGGCTCTTACTCATGTTGGAAAAGAGGCCATATGGTTACGGCGGTTGTGCTTGGAGCTTGGTTTTGAGCAAGGTTCCATGGAGGTGAGATGCGACAATCAAGGGGCTATTTATTTAGCTAAGAATCCAACGTTTCACTCACGTACAAAGCACATTGACATACAATATCACTTTATCCGAGAGAAGGTGGAGAAGAAAGTGGTTCGGCTTGAAAAGATCGACACGGTGAAAAATAGTTCAGACTTCCTTACTAAAACCGTCAAGATTGCAAAGTTTGAATGGTGTTCTATTGTGATTGGATTGAAGAGGAGTGATGTTGGTATGGCCCTCGTCTGCGTGAAGTATCCACCAAGTGGGAGAATGTTGGAGTTGGCGAATACTTCAGGGACTCTTGTTTCTCATACCAGGCACGCCCACGTAAGCTTAGGGAAACCGAAGTATGAATCGACAACATGTGACCCATACGCACGAAATGTCGAGGATCCCGCTGCCCGGACAGTGGGCGAGGGTTTTACTCCCCAATGAGCGGATGGGGCTCGCGGGCAGTGCCCCCGAAACAACATCAGGTTTTTTCTTTTAGGCTTGTGTTTTAAGCTGATCCGTTTGTTGTGGAATCAAAAGGATTCGGATAGGCTTGGGCTTTGGGCCCATTTTAAGTCCTATATATTGTACTTGTATGAGAGATCATTGTGACGAGTTGATTGTGGTTGTAAACCTAAATATCATAGTGGAATCCCTTTGTAGGACGTAGCCCTATTCTAGAGTGAGTTTGGATAAACTCGTGTGTCAATTTTTTTATTATCTGTGTGATTGTTCTGATTCTGTTTAAAATATAATCCATCAAAATGGCCAACCAAATGCTCGGTAAATATAGCATTAATGGTCAAGGAAGTTAGGCAGCGTTTAGGATTGGAAAGGGGTATCGTGAGGCATATATACAGGAAACCTTATCCTGAATGGGTCAACAACCAACCCTAACCCAGAGGGTTTAAAGTGCCTAATTATGCCATTTGTGATGGTGGGGTTGATCAGTCCATTATTGAACACATCGGCCGTTTCGTTGCCCATTGTGGGAAAGCGGGGTACGAATGAATTTCTAAGGCTAAGGTTTTTTACTTTGTCTCTATTGAAAACTGCATTCACTTGGCATACCGACCTATCGGCAAGCTTGATTTATATTTGGACAAAGATGGAAAGGCTATTCCATTCTCAATTTTACAGAACAGAACTTGAAGTGTCAATGGTCGACTTAGCTAGGTTGTATAAGTACAACAATGAGTCGATTGACCAGTTCATTGCTAGGTTTAAAAACTCTAGAAACCGATACTTGGCAGTACACTAGAAAGAGATTTCACGAATTTAGGCTTTAACGATCTAAAGGTCAAAATTAGGTAATGGTTGGAAGGCCAAGAGCTTGCCTACTTGTTTTAGTTGGCGATAAGAGTTTGTAAATATGAGCAACTGCTCAAAGAAAAAGATAAGCAACCCCATAGGGAATATAAATAGAACATGGCTCTAGTTGACAACTATGAGTCAGCAACTGAATTTGACTCAGATGAGAATGCTGAAGTAGCTGTAGCAAAAATGGTGCTGGATAAACCTTATGTTTGTCTAGCACTAAAACCTGCCAGAGTAAAAGAATCAACTAAGGCTAGGGCAAGAGACTCGGTATTATTCGTTTGACATCAACAAATTGGATGAAAGTTTTTATTTACTCCTGAAATATGGCTTGATAAAATTGACTGAAAGCAAAATTATTCCAAGCAAGGAAGAATTGGGAAACAAAAGATACTCTAAATGGCACCATGGAGCCATAACACAGTTAATTGCATTGTCTTCAAGAAAACCATCCAAGATGCAATTCAGCAAGGGAAAATTAAATTTGTCGATGACAAGGGAAAGGGTAAATGAGATCGATGTAGACCCATTCCCTCAGATGATCAATACGGTTTCAGCAGGCTTCAAAATAACACAACTTCAAAAGAATTTATGCCAACGTTGCCGACAAGATATTGAGGTAGAGGATCGTGAAGTTGCTAAGGAAAAGATGAAAGTAGGTGTCCAGCCAGGCTGCGACCGGAAAGTTACTTACGGTCGTGATGAGGTTGGAAAAGAAGACCAGCTTAGTGTCTTTGAGCAGATCACCTATGCGAAAAAGAAATTGACGCAGAAGAAATCTCTGAAGCAATGCTAGGAAGAAGGCGATCCTACCATTGGGACACTAGTTAGCCTAGTGGAAAATTCGACTATTATGTGGATTATACAATACCTCTTAGTCTAGGGATCGGTCTGAGGAACATCATTCCAATAGGATGGGGTAGGTCGAGGGAAAATTCCCCAAAAGAAGACATGGTCGGACCTTCCAGATGACGAACTCGGAAGATACCTTTCGATCCACCAAAGGGACAGTGGATCTATGTTGGTGATGGACCAGATGGTTTGTTGACCAAGATTCATAAAAGAAAGATGCAAAAAAGTGGCAGATGCTTAAACAATTATAAGAAATTCAACCCCAACCTCAGATGCAATACTCTAGGCCTCGGAAACCCAGGAAATCCAAGAACCTGGTTGGAGAAGAAAAGTAGAGGGTCAACAAACTGAAAAGGAAACCATCTCTGAAGAAAAGGAAGAGGTGGCCTTCGGGACTTTGCCCCTGTAAAACTAAACATGGTGCAAGCAAGGTTCCGATGATCTTTAAAGTGTCGGCGATGCGAGTCGAAAAAAATGATGATCAAGTCGTTGATGAGAAGCAAAAGCAGAACTGCAGCTCGAATCAGAGGAAGTTATGGAGTTTGAGAAGTCCCATGTAGCAAATCAAAGCATTTAAAGTCGTTGACGATTGCTAGGAATTAATGGCCAACCTGTGGCCAAAATTCTGATTGATGAAGAATCGACATTGAACCTTATGCCTTATAATTTTATTTCAAATTTTTCCTTTTTTCCTTTTTGTAGTATTTTCCTCTTTAACATAACATAATTAAGGTTCAGGAAAAAAATGAAGTTTTTAGGAAAACAACATCGTGTTGGCCATGATTGCACACCTCAGTTAACATTAATGGCCACATAGGAGAGCAAAAGTAATAACATAAACGGGTTAGCATTTTTAGTAAGCCAAGGTGGATGGAATTTACGGAAAGGCTTAACACTAACTTGATAAGTTTTAAAATTTAATTGTATTTTTATGATGAGTTTTAGGACTTCTGGTGCATCATATCCTGTAGACATAACATGAATCGCTAAAAAGACAAGTTTTTGCATGGGGAGAAACTAACTTAGAAGCCATAAACCATTTAGATTAAAAAAGTCAAGATAGGCACAATATTCTAGTTATATCTTTATTAGATGCTAATTACTGTAGTTAAATTTTTTGAGTATGTCTAATATTAAGCATGACTAGTTGCTAAGATATTATCAATTTAAGGTATTAAGGGGCTGAAGCTTCTGGTGTATTTAGGTGCTTATAATTTCCTCTAAATATTGGAGGAAAAATCCTTAATCAGAGGAAGGATATTAAACCTTGGTGCAATTGGACCTTCGACAACACATGATTGTTCACAAAATGTATGTCTTCTCTACATCTTACCTTGAGTGGACCCCATCCTCCCCAGTCCTCCGAAATCCCACTCCACGATAAATCGAGCACGACTAATTTCTTTGGATGAAAGTTGACTGCCGCAAAATCCAATGGACAACTTTGCCACTGAAGCCATCTTAATTGAGGAAGCAAGTTTTGAAAATTTCCGGTGAAATTTGCACCATCCACTTGAAGGAACCTCAAGTTGGTTAGTTCTTTAAATTGTTCAGCTGTGTATCTTCTTTCTCTACCATATTTGCCAAGACGAAGGGCCTCAATCTTTCTAGTACCCTGCAAATTGGAAAAACTATGGACCGTAATTTTTTAATGACAATACGATACCAATTGATAAAATATAAAGTGTATTGATTTCAATTTGTTGTCATAAAATGACGATGTGGGCTTCTTATTTTCAACTTTTAGAAATGACAAGTTATGATTGCACATTATTTTTCTAATCTATGAGAAAATGTGAAGTTTAAGAGGTTGCTCTCGAACTTTTCCTCTTCCAATTATGCCCTTCACAATTTGCATTGAAGTCCCAAAAACTGCATACTTTGAAATTACAATAGAAAGCCTCTCTTCACGTACAGACTACTTTAAATATATCTACCAAAATTCATGCCCTTCTGTGTGTGAAATAACACTACCTTTATTCATATCCTTCATATGCAAAACAAATGACTCTTACCGTCCAATACATCTATCGAACTTGCCATCAAAACATGTATCAAATTTAAAATATCCCAAATGTAGAATCCCGTCATTTCTGGTGTACCTTGTTTACAATTCTGAATAGCAAAAAGATTAATATTATCAAAAATCTCAAATTGGTAGACCCATGCCACATTTACTCTAAACTAGTTTTTTGTGGTAAGTACTCTAAACTAGTTTTCATGTGAAAAAAAATTAAACTGGTACACCCCAGCCAATTTATCCGATACTAATTTCTGTGTCACAAAAAATCTTAAATTGATATACCGATGCCACATTTACCCAAGCTATTCATGTAAAAAAATATCCAAATCATTAAAATTTAAGATTGGGAAATCTACTAAAATTCTGCTAATTTTTACCTAAGAGCTCTCTCAATTTTTGAAAATTTGGTAAAATCCCTAATTTTGAGCTAATTTTGCCCCAATATTTTGGTGATTTGAGAGAGAGAGAGAGAGAGAGAGAGAGAGAGAGAGAGAGAGAGAGAGAGAGAGAGAGAGAGAGAGAGAGAGAGAAGAATGAGCAGATTCAAATTTGCGCTAATTCCCAATCTAAGTTCATTTCTTTAGATTTGACTTCCCCAAAATGAGGCGTTTTTTTTTTTGGTCTGTAAATAGGAGACCCATTTGTATTGAATTTCCATGTCAAATCCACATCACATGCCTATCATCTTAGTTGTTTGTCACGAGTGTTTCCAACTCAATATGTAAATGGGAATATAGGATGGAAGCTAACAAAGGGTGTATTTGTCGTGAGATGTATCAGTTTGGAATTTTCTGTGATCCGAAAAGATGTATATATAGTATTACACTCACGACTGGCTAATAGAGTAATTATCACCATAAAATAACATTTGTTTTTATATAATCACATGTTATGTGCTATATTTTTAATTATAATCATAAATAAATATTCTCAAAATATGCATAACTATTTGATAAAATAGATTATATATCTAATTATTTGAATGGGCTATAAAACTCATGAATCATGATTGATTATTAAGGTGACAATTATATATTCTCTCTGATTCTGATCTTAGGGTTATTTTGGGAATTTTGGTGCTGTTCCCCTCTTATTACACGTGTCGTTCAAGAAAGAAAATAGTGTAATAACTATTACATTACTTACATCAAATAGCATATTACTATTGCGTCTTTATTACATTAAAGCAAAATAGCTGTTATATTCCAATTTTATTCAATTACTGTAACCATATGTGCTGTTAGTGTAATTCTTTGATAACCTCTCGAGTTTTTGTAGATTCATCGAATTTGAGAAGAATAAGGAAGATTGAGATCTTGAGACTGGAGTGCATAGCAGAAAGTATTTTGAGTGGAAGTAAAATACTCATGGCTTTACTAATCTCTTTTACCATAAAATTTCAACTTTTTCCTTCTAATGTTTTACTGTAATCCACAGATCTTACCACACAATATATTTGGTTTGGATGTACTCATACATTCAGTTACATAAATATTTTATAGCAATGGAAACACTTTAGCGAATTATCATTTATTATGTGCCATGGGCTCATATTTGACAAATAAATAATATTAAAATCATCTTTCTCAAATAGTAATATAAAAAAATAATATCATATTGGACTCATATTTGAAAAATAAATAATATAAAAAGATCAATAGAAAAGATATCCATCATCGCAAAAAATTAGATAACGTGCTTTAGAAATGAATTAATACAATAAAATTACCCATCATAGAAGAAAAAGAGCATATGTTTAGAGGAATCTATTATGTGACTGCGTATATTTTAACAAGTATAACCAAATATATAATTAGCGACGACAATTATTGTAACGACCCGGTTCGACGAGGGCGGGGAGTGGTCGCCGGGGCCAAATGGCCTGGACAAGGAGCGGCTCCTGGCAAGCTTCTAGGATGGCAAGGTGGGGCATGTCTCTTGTCCCACATCGCTTAGGGGGGAGTCCTGGGCTAGTTTATAAGGCTTGGGTTCTCTACTCTGTGTAACGCGTTTTAAAGCCGTGAGGGTCAGTGGGCCCAAAGCGGACAATATTACACAGTGTAGACCCGGGATACTTACAAATGGTATCAGAGCCGACTCCCGACCGTGTGTGGGGCCACAGCGAGGACGCTGTGCTCGAAGGAGGGGAGAATGTAACGACCCGGTCCGACAAGGGCGGGGAGTGGTCGTCGGGGCCAAATGGCCTGGACAAGGAGCGGCTCCTGGCAGGCTTCTAGGATGGCAAGGGGGGCATGTCCTGGGCTAGTTTATAAGGCTTGAGTTCTCTACTCTGTGTAACGCGTTTTAAAGCCGTGAGGGTCGGTGGGCCCAAAGCGGACAATATTACACAGTGTAGACCCCGGGTACTTACAAATGGTATCAGAGCCGACTCCCGACCGCGTGTGGGGCCACAGCGAGGACGCTGTGCTCGAAGGAGGGGAGAATGTAACGACCCGGTCCGACGAGGGCGGGGAGTGGTCGCCGGGGCCAAATGGCCTGGACAAGGAGCGGCTCCTAGCAGGCTTCTAGGATGGCAAGGGGGGGCATGTCTCTTGTCCCACATCACTTAGGGGGGGAGTCCTGGGCTAGTTTATAAGGCTTGGGTTCTCTACTCTGTGTAACGCGTTTTAAAGCCGTGAGGGTCAGTGGGCCCAAAGCGGACAATATTACACAGTGTAGACCCCGGGTACTTACAATTATGGTTGAAAAACCCATTCTGACGCAAAAATATCTATCATCACAAAAATTATTTAACATGGTTTACAAATAAAGGGTTCTATGACATGTAACAAAAAGTATAATAAGTGTTGGCTGTTATGATTGAAAGTTCTATAAATACTCATTATGAGATGATATTTTGTTGTAATTTATACGTAAATAATACTAACAAATCGGTAGAAAATTTAGATTTCATGATAGATTATATTTAACAAATGAATGATAGGAATGTACTAACTCTGTGGTAAATAAAATTCTCGCTAAATATCTATTATAACGTGATAGTCAATATTTGGCAAAAAAAATCGATAGAAAAATTATTTAACATGGTAGCCCATCTTTTAAAAAACGGTGATATAAATATTAATTAAATCTTTTGCTAAATAAGATCCTCACTACGAGTTGAACAATGTAGGAATAAAAGTATAACATGATAGTCTACAGTTGACAAATAAATGTTGCAAGAGATTGGTAGAAAATGTATCCACGTCACAAAAAAGAAGAAGAAAAGAAAGTATAAGCAATTCATGAAACAGAAGTATTCGCTATTATGAAAAGTCTATAGAACAAATATGATATATGTTTAGAGGGTTGTATTGTACTACACAATTGCGCATGCATCATAAGTAAATATCAAAGCCACATCAGCAAATTGACGGTGTTAAGTTACTGTTGATGGCAAAGGACTGAATTGTACAAACTGTGAAAGATAAAGTACCATATTGAGCGAACATAAAAAGCAGATAGGGTGAGCGAACATAAAAAGCAGATAGCGTGCTAGATGCGCAAACAGTAATACTTGGGGGACTAAATCTGTACTTAACGCAACTTGAAAAATATAGGAACCAAGATAGCTAATTGTCACAAATGAATGGAGTTTTCATTTTTCATAGCAAACAACTCATAAGAAGTCAATACTCACTAATAGAGAAAATAAAGAAAAGACCACACAAAAAATCAAAAGAAGAATCCAAACATTAAACATGCGCATCAAACAGTCATATGTGACGGTGCTCTGTCACACATTATGTTTGTAGTTTTGTTGTTATATTGGAGTAACCAAAGGAGAGTGTCATCGTCACAATACTATGAGATAAAGACATATATTAATCATTAATAACCAAGAAATTGCTTCTCAATTATGTCCTAGAATTAAGCAAGAGCAACAATTAATCAAAAGAGCACTTTTGCTGGTAGAAGCAGAAAGTTTTGGGGATTCAAGACTGACAATAATTTTTATCTCAAACAAGAAAGAGAAGGTGGACTCACATTCACGGACAAAGACAAGCAGAGAAGATACCTTGTTATTGTCAAGCACATCTACGGCTTCCATATAAATCCATAATCTGCTACGCTCTTGAGGCTCCATTGGATTTTCGAGACGAACAATATCCCTTCCAAGATCTCTCAATTGATCATGCATCATTAGCTTGCCGTCTTTGTCAATTTTAACTAGGGACATGAGACTCAGTGCTTCAATCCCATTCCCCGGGAAAAAACTACAGGCATCCCACATATAAGTCGGACTTTGTTCATATGATCCAATGAAAAAACATGCAATATCCAAAAATATCTGTTGCTCCTCATAATCTAATGCTTCGTAACTTATCCTCAACGTCTCTTGCACTTTCTTATTAGGAACTTTCTTTATTTTCTTTAATGTATCTTTCCATACTTTTTTTGTCTTTTCACGTAAAAATGAGCCTATAACTTCAAGAGCTAATGGAAGCCCCCCAGAAGTAGATACAATATCACGAGAGATAAACTCATAATCACTTTGAGGAGAATCCTTTTTGAATGCATGTCTGCTAAATAAAATCAAAGATTGATCCAAAGGCAACTCGTTGAGTTGGTACATGTAGCCTGCCCTAGCCTCGTTAAGAATACTCTTGTTTCTAGTTGTAATGATAACTATACTTCCTGCTCTAAACCAACTACTATCTCCGGCCAAAGCATTCAAGTGAGTTTTATCATCCATATCATCTAGAAGAATGAGGACTTTCTTACTTTTGAATCGAGTTTTGATGATACCAGTTCCCTCGTCGACGTTAGACACGTCATATGGACTTCTTAGTATATCGTAAATGAGCTGCTTTTGTAGGCATTCAATACCCTTGCGTAGAGATGTTTCTCGAATACTTGCCACGAAGCTAAGATGCTCGAAGTGACTAGAGAGATTGTTGTACAGGACCCTTGCAAGAGTTGTCTTACCGATGCCTCCCATTCCATAAATTCCGATAATCCTTGTATTATTAAATTTAGCATCTATCAAGCTCATAATCTCTTCCACACGATCATCAATTCCAACCAACTCTTTGGGAACAATTAGCGGAAAAGTTCTCTTTAACTCGCACATAACTTTTCTGACAACAATTTTAACCAATGCTCCTTCATGCCTGTCAAATAACAATAAATTCCGATATAGGATGGCAATATTTATATTCTTTTTCAAGAAAGATCTATTTATGATAAATTAAACAATGTTTTGGTGGAGAATAATGTACCCGTTATCAGTTTTCTCCGATTCCCATCCTTTCAATAAACTGACCTCTTTGAGCGCTTCTTTCCATTCCTTCAAAATCATATCGTCCAAATTCTCTTTATGTGCATTGATAGCATCTCCTAATCTCCCTATAAGACGTCGCACTTGCGAAGGTCTCACTTTGTAAAATATGGGCAACACTATTTGCCCTATGCTTCTCTTGCACTTCAACATTTGAGCCAACTCGCGAAGGCACCATTTGCTAGAAGAGTAGTCCTCTGAGATAATCGGGATCGAGATCTTAGACTGGGTAATACTGCAAAGAAGCTCTGGACCAAGCTCCTCACCAATACGGAGCTCATTGTCATCTCTGAACACGTGAATTCCTGCATCGACAAGGCTAGTATAGAGATAGTCGGTAAAACCTTTGCGAGTGTCTTTCCCTCTAAAGCTCAAAAACACTTCATAGTCATTTCCTTTCGGCCTTTTGGTTCCACCTTCATAATCACCTACTTGTGGAGAGGTTGACGAGGAAGACGCCTCGTATATCGGATCTTCTAAATGAGTGGGTTCTTTTCTTTTCATCTTGAGAGGATTGTACCAATACAAAGGCAGTAAAAGAGATTGATGGAGCAGTGCCTCAAAAGAAAGCCATATCAAAGTCCGAGAGAAGAGAAATACGGAATCCCAAGTCTGGGAATTGCAGAAATGTCTCAGAACATAATTCGAAATCATCAGAAGAAAATGGAGCAATCAAAGCTGGAAAGAGAGGAGAAAAGAAGAGCAAGAAGTCATGGATTACCGGAGAGTGCTCAAACAACACAATCCACCCACTGCTGTGATCTCCACCGATTTTCAGCCTTCGACGTTGGAGTACCAACACACAACACTCTACTGTGTGTGCTTTAACAATGCTGAGTTCTTGCCATCCAATGGTCCAAGACCCTTCGTGCTAATCGAACGGCTGCGATGCATGCCGCATGGAAAGGCCAAGTATTGCACGCGAGCCGCACCATTTCGCAGAAGGTGCGTAGAAAAGAAAACTAACGAACAACACTCAGAGGCTATTGGTGCTAATGTACATCAATCGCCAGATTATTTAGAATTTTGTTAACCTTACAAGCAACACTCAGATGCTCCTGGTGCTAATGTACATTAGTCAATGACAAAGACATATCGATTTCGATTATATAGGATTTGTTAATAAATGTCCGCAGGACCCTTGATATTCAAGTAAGGAAAGTTTGCTACTATCAATCCACAAACTCCACCAATTATGCGGAAGGCGTGGAATCTATGGTGCTTTGATTGAAATTTGAGATCCGGCGTGACTTGACTTGCGATTTCTATTAATTAAAGAAAAAGGAAAAGAAAACTAACGACCAATACTCATTAGAGTTGTTTGTCATTAGCAATTGGATATTATGAACTAACTATACTACAATATCATGACTTTGACCAATTAAACTGTTATATAATATTGCATCATGACCAATTGCTCTTTTTTCTGTGTTTCCTAAGTAGAAAGATCCATCGGGGATATTTTTTTAAAGCCCATAATGACCTCCTTATCTAGAGGAGGGATCACATTCCACCTATAATTGCAATTGTATTGTGGTAAGCAGATTGAGACTTATTTGACTTGGCTTCCGGTCATATATAATTTTGCGGTGACCCTTTCAAAGATTAGAAGATGCAGTTGGCAACGGAAAAACCTGGATTTCTATACTGCATTGGTCTATATATAATTTTTCTTACAATTTTGGCTTGCTATTAGTTGTCCGTCACATTATTGATCACAGGACGTATCTATCTATCTATCTATCACAGACTTATCATTAATTTTTATAAAAGTACTAAAAATCGAACTGGTCGATATCGATGTAATTGGCCCCCTAGACAAAAACCTCAGTTGTACATAGTTCTGCATTCACATGTTTTGTTGCATTTCTCCGCATTTAGATATTAGAGACATTTAGATCTAGGAATAAGCATGTTAATATTTAACGAAATGGGGGCTCAGCTTTGGAACTAGCACGATGGACGGCCCGGCATACGAGAAGAGCTAGAATTCTTAACTCTAAGATTGTGAGAAGTGAACCTAACTCAAAGATTGTTTGAAGACAGTCCTAATTTCGGACAAAATGGATTGCAATTCCAAGAATCGTGGAAATTTCAATCTTAAGGATGAGGCAAGGATAAGATTCAAGCTTAAGGATGAGGATCGCAATCCATGAGGGTTGGACTTTGAAATGAAGGCTTAGCCGATATAAGAAGGACTTTAAGATGGGAAATTCGGGTTCTCTTGGAGGATAAAGCACATATCCACGGCAGCCAAGAGGTTGAGTCGTGTGAACTGGGACTAAAAAACAGAAAATGTGAAGGGGGCTTGGAGAAAAATCTGAACTTGAGTTTGGGTGGAGATCACAATCGGTGGAGATAGAGCCAAAAAGCTTGAGAGAAATTGGTCGAAGAATCAAGAAAGAAACCAAGTGAGTTCCGTTGGAAGTCTTAGTGGAATTGGGAGTTTCAGAAAAGGAAAGTAGCGAATGCAGATATATAAAAATTCGGCGACAAAGGGGAAATCGGTGGCTTTGAAAAGGAAAGAAAAAACAATTGTAAGTTTTAAAGTAATCAAAGGCAAATTCGATGAAAAGCATTTGGTCAGATTTTAAGGGTTATTTGGTGAAGTGTAGGCATTTCAAATAGGTAGGTCGAGTCGAAATTGAACCAGATCAAAATGGTTTGACTCAAATTGATTTATTTAATCCATATTCTAAAGATTATTCTGTGAAGTATAGGCTTATCAAATGGGTGGGTTGGGCAGGTTTGGGTCTAGCCGAAAATGATCTGACCCATGTTGATCAATTTAACCCATTTTTGTGCAATACAATTTTAGCGACCCATATCCGACTTGTCCCGGACCTAGCTGGGGCTCTAATTCATAGCAATTTTTCTCCATAAATTGTTACCTTTGAAGAATGTGCGACGCCATCAACCAGCTCGCCGAATCAATGAGGGACCTCATATGCTCAGGTCGGGTCATGGGCTAAGACTTTGTGCGGCACATGAGCAAAGTGGAGACGTGAGTGAGCACCGCGCTAATGGACAAAAACAAAGGGACTTTAGAAATGGGAATCGATTGGTTCCTTTTCTGTGTTCTCTGATGTGTTTGGATAAAAAAATCGAATTCAATAACAAAATACAAAAATTACACAATTTTACTATAAAAATATAGATCGCTCAAATGGTCTTTTTTTTGGGAGGGGGGGGGGGGGGTCGAAACTCAAGTGGTCTCGTTGAAAATCATGGTTTGGTTCTTGATGCATGCAAAAGTATTGTTTTTTGAAAGAAAAAAGAGATAATATCATGAAAAACTCTAAATTAGTACATCTGTGATAAATTTACCCCAAATTAATTTTTTGACCACCAAAAATCCAAAACTGGTACACTTGTGATAAATTTACACTTCATTAGTTTCCGTTAAATTTTACCGTCAAATTGCTGAGTTAAATGACACATGACAGATGATGACAAATTTACCATCCGTTAGTTTGGGGTTTTACCTTCAATTTATCACAGATGTACCAGTTTGTGATTTTTTGTCGTATTAAACCATTTTAACGGAAACTAACTGATGGTAAACTTATCGCAAATGTACCAGTTTGGATTTTTTGGTAGTCAAAAAATTAGTTTAGGATAAATTTGTCACATATGTACCATTTGGGATTTTTGGTGGTCAAAAAATTAATTTGTGATAAATTTGTCATAAGTGTATCAGTTTGGGGTTTTTCATGATATTAATCCCCCCAAAAAAAGAGAGCCTTTAGAACGGGCCACGAAGGACCCAAGCCAAACATCTATGAACCCGGACACGGGCACTTGGGATCTGGAGACTGGCCTCAACAGACCTAGGACCACATGGGCACGGAGTCTCGAGTGGCCTCGAGGGACTTAGCCCTAACCTTTATGAACCCTGGCCAAAACAACGAGGAACTGGGCCTGACCTAAGTAAGGCACTAGTGACTTGGGCGAGGAGGCCGTGTATCGGGCATGGGCACCGAGCACTCGAGCCAAGCCTCGAGGGACCCAAACACGGGCACCAAGGTCCCGGGCCTAGCCTTGAGGGACTCAAGCCCGACCTCCATGGACTCAAGCATGAGCACTGGGGTCTCGGGTCAAGCCTCAAAGGACCTAGGCCATGCCTCTATGGACTTGGGCCCAACCAACGACGAACTAGGCTCGACCACAAAAGACTCAGGCTAGGCTAGTGACTTTGGCTCGGAGCCAGGTACCTGGGCATGGCCATTGAGGACCTAGACACGAGCATCGAAGTCCGTGGCCTAGCCTCGAAGGACTTGGGCCCAACCTTCGTGGACCCGGGTTTCGAGGAACCAGGCCTAGATTTGATGCATGTAGGCCTGCCTTGATGGACCCAAGGGGGGCGCTAGTTGGGGCAAGGAGCCTGGTACACAAGCATGGCCATTAGAGATCCAAGCCCAGCCTTCATGGACTTGGGCAGGGTGTCACAACCATCTTGAAGGGGAAACGGGAAGCTAGTTTAGAGGTCATGTCCAGTTGGGGACCAATGGTCCTCAACATGTGCAGATTTTCGCAAACCTTTACCTCATGCAACGTTGAGATTTTTTTTTTTTTTAGTTTGATTAATTCTATGATCATTCTATGTGAAGGAGCCACGACCCTATTGGGGTCGTCTAGAACCTAAATGAGGTATGGAAGAATACCTAACTTCCATGTGTGAGGTTGAGTGAGGTTGTGAGGTTTCATCATCACAATTGTAGCAAAATCAACGTAGGAACACACACGAAGAGTCTGGGCCAGCAAGCATTCATCGAGCCTAGGTGTTCTAAACATGATTTATCAAGTGATTTCTCATCCTAAGTTTCATTCAAGAGGAAATTCATCATCAATTAATGCATTGCTTCATAAATCTCATCACATCCTATCCTTAACATTAATCATAAATAGAAGATTACTCTTTAATTTTGCACGACGATTAGAAGAGGAATCCTCGAATAATCCTAGGAGTAACATCAATAATCAAGCAGACCTATCTTGAAATCGAAGGAAAATTGAAAACCGACGAAATAGAGGACTCTTTGACAGTCGTAAAAGGAGTTCCAGCAACCCTCGCTAGCCACAGTGAAAAAGAAAAGAAGGAAAAGAGAAAGAAAAAAAGAAAAAAAAATTAATAAAGATGCGAAGTTTCCGGGTGTGATGTATAGCCAAAATTGGTGGGATTGACTACATTGACAAATTGTTGAAAGGTTTAGGACTAAATAGGCCAAATTAAATGGTTTATGACTGAATTGATACAAATACAATGCGTTTATGACTTTTTTGGTAGTTATCCCGCAATATTTGCATCCAAAGCCAGAAAAAGGAATCCGAGAATATCTTTTTTCGGTGAAGTTGGTCTGCATTATCCAGAGTTTGAATTTTCGAACTTTCTAGCACGGCGAACTTTTGCCATACATTAAAAACCTTACGTTGAAATTGTTACTTCAATCATAAGTTCATGAGGCACTTAATGAATTAATTGCCAGTCTTATCTACCTTTGAAGCAAAACCCCCTTTTCATGATCTTGTAAGTCAAAACTTTTGGTTTTGTATCTATCCACAACATACTACTCGGGACTAAATCGCGAATGACGCTTAAGAGTACTAGAAGTCTTGAAATTAGAAAAG